TATATATATTGCCTTTGGATCTTGACTTGCATGTTTGCCTTCTTGATTTTTGCTTTCAGATCTTCTGCTAGAATCCAACCCATTCTCATGACATCCTTTCTTGGAATTGGTTTTCTGCAAGTAGAATTAAGTTATTGTCTATTATTAAAATCCATATCTAACAAATGACCTCATCAACTAGGCTATGGTAGTTGAGAAGTCATTAAACAAAGCTAATTAAGTGTGAACTCTGTTTCTTTGACCAACGAAGCAGATGAATAGTTCAATTTTAATTTTGAAACGTACTAAGCTTTCTGAAAGCGACATAATGATTTGTTTACCCACCAGTCCATTTGCCAACCAGGTCAGACTTTCACCAATAATCAAGATCGGGTTAGAGCTTTGAGTATAAAAATAATTCTGATTAGGAACGCTCTCCTAAGCATTATGCACTCGAATTCGGATTAATTAGGACTTAACAGATTACATTCGGATAAAAAATACTCCTTTTTTAATGGGTCTTACGCTACGCCAAAGTTGAATTAATCAGACCCCTGCTTAGAAAATACAAAGACTAGAGTTGGAATCCATGATGTGATTTGACAAGCTGGCAACTTACAAAGGAGTAGTTAAATTCCCACCTCATTGTCCACTGTCTAAAGACTAGACTAGAATCTCTTTGAATTCTCAACCCATACATCCCCATATCAATTTTGAATGCTAACTTTAGTGTTTCTTTGAATCATATTCTCTTTCTGGACAAGTGAGAGATGTCGACCATCTTTGGAACAATGGAGGTCAATCTTGTCAACGCTCGCGGTCTCAAAAACAACGAATTCTTGGGTATTAATTAACTTCTCTTGTATCTTCTCTGTTCCTTAATTTGTATTTAGTTCTCTTCCCTTTCTTGTTTAGCTTTGTATGACATATCCGTTCAACCTTTAGCTTCACATATACTTTCCGTTTGTATTATCTTATTTTTCGATTTCTGTTATTACCTATTGTTTTCTTTGCTTCGTTTATCTTATTGCATTGTTGTTGTTAATGTTCTTGTCTTTCATTATTTTCAACGCGCCTTCTTCACTATTGTTTTTCTTTTTCAAACCATCTTAACAAGCTCTCGAATTCTATAAGACAGGGGTAAGGTCGGCATATACATTATCAGTGGCGAAGCTAGAAATTTTCAATTTAAAAGAAAAAAAATTCCCCGATAAAGGGAGTTCAATATATGTTATATACTTCTATAACCTAATATTTTACCTATATACATAATGTAATTTTTTAGTTTCGGCCCTGCACACTATCCTCCTCAGACCTATTTGTGAGAATATACTAGAGTTATTGTTGTTGGGAGATCAGTTTTATAGTCCATTACAATTTTTTTTTTTTTTTTCAGTTTGGTCTTTTTATTCCGATATATTGCGCACTCTATTGTTATAGTTTTTTGCTGTTTACTTGTATAATACTAGTGCACATTAATGTGGTGTTGCTGTATATGGTGTAGGTGGTGGAATAGATCCGTATGTTTTGATTCAATATAGAGGTCAAGAACGCAAGAGCACTACTGCAACAGGTATTCATTAATTATTTCCATTCTCTCTTTTTTCCCCTATAAAATAGAATGGTGGATACACTTTTAGGCCAACAGATGTCATCACATTTATATATCTTCTATTCTTTCTTGACCAAATTGTTGTGCAAAAATGCTTTTCAAATGCTTAGCTAATTATTGAACTATGGCTCCTGCTTATTGGATGAGTATACGAAGTATTAATCAATTTGTTTTATGTAATATTTTTTATGTACAACAACAATAAAATTCAATGTAATTCTACAAGTGGGGTCTTGGAAGGGTAATGTGTACGTAGATTTTATCTCTATCTTATGAAGGTAGAGAGGCAGTTTTCGATAGACCCTCGGCTCAAAGTACAATAAGAAGGCAGCAACAAACAGTAGCAACAACAAGATAATAAGATAAGAAGCAAACGACATATACTAAAGCTCTAAGAATAAGAAAATATCGGAATAGTACTACTACTACCGGTAAGACTAGGAGAAACTCGCAACTACCTATCAACCTTCAACCTTTATTCTTGACTTCCATACCTTCCTATTGAGGGTCGTGTCTTCGTTAAGTTGAAGCAATGTTATGTCATGTCTAATCACCTTTCCCCAATATTTCTTCGGCCTACCTCTACCCTTCCGCAGACCCGCCATGGTCAACCTCTCATACCTCCTAACCAGGGTATCTATGTCTCTCCTCTTTACTTGTCAGAACCATCTCAACCTCGCTTCCTGCAACTTCCCCTCCACAGGTGCTACTCCCACCTTGTCCCTGACTTCATTCATAATCTTATCTTTCCTGGTATGCCTACACATCCATCTCAATATCCTCATTTCTGCTACTTTCATCTTCTGAACATGAAATTTCTTGATTCGCCAACTTTCAGCCCCATACTTTTTTTTAATGTATCTGACCATAATGTCTTACAGCAGCAAGGTCTTATGTGATGTCATGAGTTATCCATCTTCTGTTTTCCCTGAGTCAAAAAACTGGTCAATACATGTTTGAATGGGCGGCGTAGCTACATTGTTTAAAGGGAATTAAATAAATCTGCTTTAATTACAAATTTCTCAAACTCTTGCTCACTGACAATGCAGGTCAAGGCAGTAAACCAGAATGGAATGAGAGGTTTACTTTCAGGGTAGAGTATCCCTCTGCAGATAAGCAATACAAGCTTATACTTAAGCTCATGGATCATGATTCCTTTTCCTCAGATGACTCTCTTGGCGAAGCGACGTAAGTAATTTTTGTTTATGTTAACATATCAGACTTGATACGAATATCAATATATGTTGTTGTAAGTCAATTTAACCAGATTGTCAATAATACTATATTGTTTACATTCAATCAATTGTGGACTTGTAGTATTTATTTGAAGGAATTGATTGAATTGGGATTGGAGAATGGAAGAGCTGAAATTCATCCTCGCAAATATAGTGTGGTGGGCAGTGATCAATCTTACTGTGGGGAAATTCAAGTTGGCCTCACTTTCACCCCTAAGGTATTCTTTTGAACCCTCAGTATTAGCCAAACTTTACAGATCTTATAAATTTTTGTAAATTTTCCCGAAAAAATTAAGTAAGCATTTGGACATAAAATTACTACATAATTTTTGAAAAAAGAGTTGTATTTGGAGTTAAGTTGAAAAATAGTATTTGGAATTTAAAATTATGTTTAGACATGCATTTTGCTTGAAAAAAAATTGTAGTTTTGTGAGCGGAGAAAAAAAAATTCCTGCAAAATTTCATGGACAAACACATTTTTGAACTTTTTTTAAAAAAAGAACAAAAAAAATATGGACAAAAAAACAAAAAAAAGTGGGATACGGACAAAATGAAATGGAAGAAATTCGGACTGCACGGAAAGGATTAATTTGTAGGATACATTTCATTCTTACCTTGCTGAGACACAATCAAGTATAACTTGGTCCGTTTTGGCTATATATTTGACATAATTTAGAAGGCTACAAAGCAGCTATGTTGCTTAGATTCTCCAAAAATATTATCATATATGTGTCGGATCCTCCATAAATGCATTAATTCTAGAGGATCCAAAATGTACACGATGACATTTTTGAAGAGTCTGAATAATATAGATAACCAGCACATCGCAATGCAGATTGTCTTTCTTAGATGCTCATCGAAAATGTTAAATGATGCTTCCTTTTTTTTTTTTCCTCGCGATGGAATAAAAATTAATAGCTCGTGATATGTGAAATAATTTGACAGAAGGCAGCTGCAGAAGAAGAATATGGTGGATGGAAGGAGAGTGCATGACTGCTGACTAGCTATAGTTCCTATATGTATTTGCCAGATTTTGTACACTGCTGTGGCCCGTGAGTAGAGTAAAGATGAACATTCTCGCAATATTCTTCTTATATATATGTTATGTTAAAGAGATTGTTTGTTGTACTTAACAAAGCAATTGAAGTATCTTAAAACGTAAGAAAAACTCCTTATAAATATAATGCACCATATGTAAGTGTTGGAGAAGAATATAATAATGAAAAAGTAACTAAACCAAATGAATACTCCACGAGAGAACCTAGGAATCTAGAGCTCAGATACCAATTTGTTACGATCCAAAAATTCAGCCAGTCGTGATGACACCTAACACATTCTGCTAGGTAAGCTAAATAATAGACAACAAAACTCAAATAGGACAACAGGAAGCAATAAATAAAATAACTGAGCTTTCGATAAAAAATTTCAAAGATTAGTAGTACAAATCATGAGTTTTTAATACTTAGAGTTTACAAAGCTAGTATGAAATAAATCCATCTTTAGGCAATGAAAATTTTAATTGATTTAAATCCATAAGAAATTTGGATTTAATCTTAAATTAAATATTATATTGGTCCAAATAAATATTATGGGTTAATATATAAATAAATTAATTATATAAGTCGAATATATATGGATTAAATAAATAAATCTTAATCCATTGGGCTAGTCCACTTAATTGGGCTAAAGTGATGAGCCCAATTCATTAGGCCCAAGATTTCATCTTCCTAGAGGCCCAAATGGATGCCCACGTGTCAAATGACGTGGCACGCCAAGTCAAACGGAAGAGCCAATAGTATCATGTCACGTGTCAACATGACAAGGCATGCCAAGTCACATTAAAAGGCTAATGAAATTGTGCCACGTGTGCAAGTGACATGTTCTGGCCAACCAAATGCGGTCATGTCACACTTTAATTTGATTAGTCGGAAAGATTTTATTCTTATCGCAACTCCCCTCTTTCACAACTATAAATAGGGGTCTTCATAACTCAGAAAAGAAACGAGAAGTTATAACAAGAAGTAAGAGAGAGCTCGTGGATCAAACACCGCAATTTCTCTACAAGTTTCAATCTTCAAGCAATCAAGTTCAAGTTCAAGAAATCATGTTTAAGCTCAAGAACGAAGAACAGTTCAAGTATTCAAGATCAAGAACGAAATCAAATTAAATACAAGGTGTTCAAGATCAAGGCTACTTGTTCGTGATACAATTCGTGGCAACAATCAAAGTGTTCGCGACGGATAAATCAAATTCAAATTCAAGATCAAGCTCAAAGGCCCTTGAATTTATATTAGAAAAGTATAATCAAAGGAATCATAGAGATTGTACACTCATATTATTTGAAATTAAATACTACGATTGTTGCAATATTTTTCGGTTTTGATTTTATTTTCTTGACGCAATTTATTGTCTACACCATCATCTGTTCGAAATATACATAAACAAATTTATAAATCTAAAGCCACCAAGAACAAGAGACAGATATAACTGGAACGAACGTACATCTTCAGTGCCACCTCCAGCCATACACAACAATATCAACTCCAAAATCTGCACACAATGTGCAAAAGTGTAGTATGTGTATAACTGACTTCATCTCAATAAGTAACAAACCTAACCTTAGGTTGAAAGCAGTGAAGAGCTCGAAAAATGGTCAGAGTCCAACACCAATAGCCAAGAACAACTCGTAACAATATAACCAAATCAATACAAGTAATAACTCAAAAGAAATTATGCTCAACTCGTTCACAATTATGAAAAAATAGACATGCTTTTAAGGTATAGCAATAAAACTATGTACATGTCAAATCATGAATGTCACAATACGATATGGCATGAGAAAAATGCATTTCTATACCTACATGCCAAGTATGCATGTCAAATGAATGATTTCACGGTGATATTCCCAGGTACTCTCACCCTCAAACATACTCAAGATGTATGTCTCAAATGCCCACTTCATCACCCACCCATACACACACAACCACTCAGCATTATACGGGTGCCTGGCTCATAATCCCCTCACCAAAGCACATAAATATATACATCGTGCATGCGCTCACTGTTGGTATATCAGACTCCGGAGGGGTAGATACTGCCCAAGCACTAATATAAAGCCTATAAGGCCTACTGCATTGTGCATCCCGATCCATAATAATAATAATAAAACCAATAAGGCATGCTGAGACATGCAACCCGATCTACAATAATACTCACAACACGGATCTCACGCCCACCTCAGTCATCAATCTCTCAAGTCTCAAGGGCTCACAATCTTGTACCACTCAGCCCAACAACCCACATATGGACAAGCAATGATAGCATAAGATGTAATAATAAATGATAAACAGAGACTGAGATATGATATGCAAATAATGAATCATGACTAAGTGTATAATTACAGTTAAATCAGATAACTCAAAGCAACAAAAATAGTCCCATTATGTCTCAACCAAATAGCAACATAGTCTAAACATATCTTCTAACATGATTCATAGCTTGGATAACCAACAAGTAGGGAGAACGTGGGTGTAACAAGATATAACAGTAAAACAAGCTCAGTCATATTCTAATAGTCAACTTGAATCATTATTATCCTAGTACACGCCCACACTCCCGTCACCTAGCATGTGTGTCACCCCAATACATCTCATTATAACATATATGAGATTTCAAGTTCGTATATATGTATAAAGTTTGAAATTTTTATCATTTTTTTAGTTTTAAACTTTTTTAATTAAATTGGATTCGGCCCATTAGGTCCCGAGTTAAGGGGTTACGGGTCCGGGTCGGGTCAACATATTTTAATTAACGGGTCAAATTCGGACCAGCCCCTATAAGAAAGTGAACCGGCCCGACTCGGTTAAGGACCCACGGTCCAAGAGTTAACGGGTTCGGGTCTGGGTCGGGTCGACCCATTTAACAAGTCTAGATTGAACATATGAAAAGGTGGCAGACTTCAAGGACGGGAACTATGGTTTGCCTTATGGATTCTTGCTCACTAGAATGTTTGAATATTTCAAAGTCTCTTTGGAAAGAGCAGCGGTGGGAACTCGAAAGCAAACATTCTCAATGACTACCTTGGATGAGTAGTGTATAGACAAGAAGGGGGAGTTGGCAGCAATTCTAAGATTTCTCAGCTAATCGATGCCCAGGCTGCTGCTAACTAGGAAATAAGGAGGCTGAAGGCTAGGAATGTCATTCTCAAGGGACATCTCAGTCAAGCCAAGGAGGAACCTGGTTCTAGCAGTGCACAGGGTGCAGAGGTTACCCGTTTGACGACTGAAAATATAGACCTGAGGAAACAGGTTGAGAACCTGACAGAGCAGCTGATAAATGAGCAGTGGTCTACAAATTCTCGAGTGGATATTCTTCTCAAAGCCCTTGCCTCTTTATCCTTCCCTCCTCTTCCAATGCCCCTTAAACAGTCCCCTTGTCAGTGTTCAGTTTAACCGTGTTTATCTTAGTCCTAGTGTCCCTTTTTGGTTTGTTATTTTTTTTAATTGTGGTACTTTAAGCTTGTTTTTGGTGTGGATATTTTTTAACAATGGTACTACTGCCTATGTTTTTCTTCTCCAATTAATCAATGAACATCTCAGTCTTTTGCTACGCATGTTATGCTCTTGTGCTCTGTTTTTAGCTATGTTGTGTGCACATAAGTGGCACAAGTAAACTTTGCCGGACTTCTTTTTGCATTTACTTGCATATATTCTTTTTATGATGCCAAAAGGGGGAAGAAAGAGAAAGGAAACATGTTATCAGGGGGAATATAACTAATCTGCAGGGTGAATTGTATGGAGATCTGGTTCTTAGGGGAAACTTCAATTCTAAGTTTGTCATCATCAAAAAGGTAGAAATTGATAAGTTATGTGCTTTTGTATTTTGATGATTTAACAAACTTCATATGAGAAACAGATAGAGAACCCAATACACAACCTCAAAGTGCTCAGAAAAACAAGCCACATGTCTGGCACACGTTCCAATAATATCAGTCAAAGAAACGGCAGATGAAACAGATGGCTATCAGTCCTCCGGTCACAATACAAGTCAACTCCTTACAACTGTTAAAACTGCTATACTGTTGCACTACACACGTAACAGTGCATCAATCACTTTATGGAGCATATTGTGTACCGATTTTACTTGCTTATATCATCCCAATGACCTCACTTATATATTACTAATATGAGGCAAAGGAAAATATACACTTGCAAGACCTAAATCATTAAGTCTTTCTCAAGTCACCTTATTAATTCGATCCTAACACTAATAGCGCATGCATGGATGTCCTACATCTATTTTGTCATGCTGCTGCCCCCAACCTTAAATTCTCCGGTGGGATATACTTCTTTTTTAAATCGCCTAGTCTGTGATTCATTTAAATTTTAAAGCGCTGTGATTAGTGTCATTTTGTGTATTTGATTACTGTTATGAGAACAAAAAAGTTCTTCATCAAACTGTTGATTTTGGCAAGGAAAGTGAAACCGTCCTGTAATTTTTTCCAATACAATAATGGTTTTCATTGTCGAAGAATTATTCTGCTATTTAGCAATTAGTTTGACCATTGTGTTAGAATAATCAATGATCTCATGAACTAGGATATGGCAGGTGAGAAATCATTAAACAAAGCTGATTAATATCCTGGTTGACCAAGCTTCTACAAGTCCAAAAAATATTTTTTTTCTTCAAAAAAGTGTTTTTTTAAAAAAAAAATTGAAGTGTTTGGCCAAGCTTTTAAAACAAAAACAAAAATATTTTTGCGTAGAAATAGAAGCAGTTTTGGAGAAGCAGAAAAAAATAGTTTCTCGAAAAGTACTTTTTTGAAAACAAAAACACTTTTTTGAAAAGTACTTTTAAGAAAAATACACTTGCATTTTTTAAAAGTTTGGTCAAACACAAATTTCTATTTATAAGTGTTTTCAAATTAATTAGTAAAATACAAACTATTTCTTATTAAAAATACTTTTGTGAAAAAATACTTGTCAAAATAAGTTGATTTTAGAAGCTTGTCTAAATAGATTGAACTCTTTTTCTTTATCCAAGCAGATGAACAATTCAATGATTTGCTTCCCACCATTCGATGTGACTACCAGGTCAGACTTTCACCAATAATCACGCTTTCGATCGGG